TACTCTTTGGCAAAATAATCTCATTGGCAGACGAGACTTGTTTTCCCTGGCGACTGTCATTGGCTAAGGGTAGGGGTAGAGGGGAGTTTCTTCTAAGAATTTTTAAGTCGTTCCTCTGGCTTTTTCGATATTGTCATTAAACAAATGTGCCAAAAGCGTCGCCGATACAGAAATAATAACAACAAATAACAGCCGCCGGCAGTGGCAGTAACAAAAACAACAAATTTCGGGTTTCGCACGTCACTTGCTGGAATTCCCGTAAATCGTGTGCTCAAAATTTTTGGTTGTTTTCTTGGGCTCTGTTTTTTGGCTCCCCCCTCCCAACCCATCCCCTTCCCACATTTTGAGGTGGTTTTTTTTGTTTCTAAAAATTGTTTACAGCTATACAGCAGAGGTCTTAATGGTTGTTGTTGTTGTAGCTGCTTCTGCTGCTGCGGTCATCTTCGATCAATAAATCCGGTTTTCAAACTAAAACGGAGAGTGGGAGAGACAGGGACAGGGAAAGAGGCCACAAATATTTCGTATACGTAGTTTTTTTTTTTATTAACTTTCGCCTAAATAATTGCACAATAAAAATTGTTTGGAATTTCTGTTTATTTTTTATTTTTTGCTCTGCTCAAAGTTTGACTTTGGATTGGACGTAGCTATATATATGTATAGTTGATCTGCATATCTGCGGCCTAGGGGGCAATGTCTGTGTATCAATTAATGTTCTGCTGTCTCGGGCTATTTATAGATTTTGTGGTAAATTTGCTAATAATACTCAAATTTCAGCGAGGCAGCACACACACCCGCACCCGCACCCTGAAGCCTTGGGTCTGCACCGTCCACAATGAGCAGTTGGAAATGCCACATGATCCATGATTCATGGCAAAACTCTGCATGATCTTCATCTGAATAGTAAATGTGCTCGAATATGAATATTTTGGCCAGGAATCGGCGGAGATTGCTGATCAGCGACGATGATCGGAGTAACCTGCTGCAAAAAAGGCCTTGAATGGATGCTGCTAATGCTGATTGGCCAGGCAGTCCACGGGCAATCAGCATACAGATCAATATGTTCACAGATCCATAGAAGGAAATCCGCGAATATGAGTTCCAATCGATCGAGTGATAGCTCCTTTTGGTATCGCCAGCCAATCAAACTGATTTTGGAAAAACGATGTCAAATTTAAGGTCTTAATTTCGAAGCCAATAAAACGGGGTTAACAAGTCTTAATCAATCGGATGAGATCCATAAATTGTTTTCACTTCATTCTCCCATAGAAAAGCCGTTTCTCATGGGAGAAATCCCGTTTAATTAAAGTACGATATATGATGTGTGACTTTTATGGAGCTCTTACTCCGGCACATTTGGGGGTTCGGTTCGCACTGCTTCGAGCGCTATTAAAATCGCATTACCATTGCCCCATTGCGAGAGAAACTCCCTGCTCCAGGACCGGTTGGAGGTCTTCACTGTGGTCCTTGCACTCAGCTATTTTCTCTTGCTATGGGATGGGCCACATCGATGAGGATGATTATGGTGATGGCTAATAGCTTTGTTAGCTCTTGTCTGTACGTTTATCTGGGTTGTGACTTTATTATGTCGTCGATGCATGCATTCATTCCATTCCCATTCGCATTCCCCTCTGCTCCTGACATATCAAATTCGTTGACTTTTGTGGCTGTTGTTGGGCTGGCCCATTGTCTTGGGCAATCGTCATCGACTTAAGGCTGGGTATGGGTTTGGGTCTGCGTTTGGGCCTGGTCCTCATCTGGAGCTCAAGCTCAAGCTGGGACTGGGGCTATGGATGAAACTGCAGTTGTAATCGTTTCCCCCAACTTTCAGTGTGGTTTCGGTTTCGAATCCGTCTGCCTGTCATGTGAATTTGTACCAAATAGAGTTGAAAACTTGAACGAGTCTTGCCCCGAAGGCCTGCCATTTGACAAATGTGCGTTTTTAGCCATCTCATTGTTGTGGCAAACACAGACTTCGATATGCAAATACATTAAAATTAGTTGCCAGGCAACCAACAACCGACAAACCCCAGCACGATCCGAATCAAAGTCTAAGCTGGAGATGGAGTCGGAGCTGTAGCTGGGAGTCGTGTCTTATATACGCGCTCTTATGGTATTTGCCTGTTTCGCTAAAGAGTTTCTTGGCTCTGCTTTGGCGTCATTTGAATGGGGGATTACGACTGATCTCTCAGCCTTAATGGTTATGCTTTCAATGCTGATGTGGCCGCTGATGTTGTAAGAGGAGCCAGTGCATTCCGCTGTTAATTGAATTAAGTCGGCGACATGGTCCACTCCGAGAGTAATTGGCAGGAGGTAGTCCACAGAAGGGCCACAGCCAACTTGCACTTCTAGCCAGGCTTTTAAAGTGGAACCTGCGATGGAGAGTGTGATAAGCCATCGGCCTGTCTTGGCTCTCGGCTCCCGGGGCCGGGCCCCTTCTCGTCCAGCGACTACCTACTGCGCATTATTGGGGTCCCCGTCTAGACGCCGTCTGCGTGCCATGTGTAACGTAACCCTTTCGGGTGAAGACCCAGACCCAGAGCTACACCAATTTGTTGCCTGCTGCCTGCTCCCCTTCAAGTGCAATGCAACCCCTGAGCCATGGTGGAGTTCGCTTAATTGCTCTGGCCTTGCCGCTGGACGCCATGTCGGAACCATTAGAAATCGCAGTCGGGAGGACAAAGTGTATAATCACTGGCCGTGGAGGTACTCTTAGCACTCTCAGCCGTCAGCTCTCAGCCCTCAGCAGTCGGCCCTCAGCCATTTTAATTGGCACGACATCGTCAAAGTCTGGGGGCATGCAATGCCGCCGCCGGGCGCTCAATTATACACATTACCGAACAGAGAACAGAGAACCAAGATCTAAGCTCGACTTCTCATTAAATGGCTCTCGCTAATTCTCACTATTGCCCCACTAGGAGTACCTATTTATAGCCCCAACCTTAGGCACAGCTGCCGTCAAAGTGGCGTAGTTTTTTTTTTGCTCTTGACAATTTCCCAATCGACCAAGCGTCCGACACTTGTCACTCGATCGCACATTAACCCCAGCCAGACGCTCGACTGATTTGGCAATTCAGAAACTGCGTACGCCGCATGGCACAGCACACATGTGGCACGATCATCATCAGCCGCGGCAACAGCAGCAACATCATCTTTATGAGCCTGAACAATGAACCCACACGATAAGCCGAAAGCAAAGCAAAGCTCGACAGCGATCCACAGCGATCTCCAATCCAATTGAAATCAACTTCAGCTTCAATGTTCTTTAAGAACTGTATTTAAAATGGAATAATGTTTCTTGAACGGGGGGAAATCACTTTGACATTGAAGTTGGATACGAACACGAGCATTACATAATGCCGCAGAACCAGAAGTTATCTTCCAGTTGGTTGACTAATGAATGTATTAGTTGTGCATTTTCCAACGTACTACAGCGTTTATTGTATAGGTAGTTGCAACTTCTGTGCTGTTCGAGGATTGTCCTTGTCAACTGCGTGAACCGCTTGACAAATTGCAGCTAATCAACAGTCAACGGGAACAAGAACAGCGGCGTATCTCGGTGCTCCGCTCCGCTCCGATCCGGTCCAATGGGCACGTATTCGGTGATCGGCGTTGCCGTTGCTGCATTTGTGTGTTTTTGTGTACGACATCTTATCAATTGCAGAAATTAACATATTATTCAGAGCATTATATAGTCATATATATACATATATATGTACACTCGTACTCTTATCAGTCGCTTAGTTGTGTGTGCATTTGTGTCTGTGTGTGTGACCAATGCCTTAGAATAAGAAGGGTATATAGAGTTTAGGGATGATCGATTTCGCTTTCTCTCTACAACTGCCTCAATGGTATACCCAAGTCGATCTTTTTTCCTACATCCTCGGTAGTTGTTCGCTTCACTGACATTTGATAGGTCAAGCACCCACCTATTTGGACATATTTTTCTCCTACTCGGCTCGATTGATCGATGCTTTGAGCAATGTGATCGGGGACTGCTGCGTTGGGGATTGGATTGGTGGGATTAAATGATACATAGAGCTCTATGGCCATAGAGAGATTCGCATCCGCGTTGGGTTCGGCTTGGTTCAGCGTTTGACTGGCGCCACTTTGAAGCTGCCAGAAGTCAATAAAGTGCCAACAGAGAAACTGAAAGAAACCCAAAAATCTTTGGCCAATTCGATGGCTGTAACTGGTTGATTGTTGGTCGGTTGTTCAAGACAAATAATAAAAAATTATGCGGCTACAGAAACAGCAACAGCAATCGAAATTAATTATAACTCAAACAAGCATTACAATATTCCGTAGCTGGCGCCAGCCAGTCAAAGATCATTAACATTTTTATGATCGCCGACACCCGAACAAAGAGCCACCACACATAAGGCTCATATCTGTTGTTACCTGAACACCCGACAGCCGGCAGCCATAAGATACACAGATACAGATACAGACACGGACAGTACGCACCCATAAATCGCAAAACTAATAATGTCCAAGTTGTCTTAACACCTCTTGATAGACGGGGAATGACAGGGGCGGGCCGGAGGCTGCGCTGATGATTCGCAGAATTCGTATGTCGGTGAAAGAACGAACCCATGGGCTAGCTTCGAGCGATTCGGGCAGAGATATCTATACCTCTATCTCTGTGGACATCATCTTATGTTCTGAGTACAGACTGGTGTCGTAAATTCCAAAACGAAATGATTTACTGGCCAAATTTCATTCAAGGGCGGCAAGTGCAAAGTCTCTAGGTCAGACCAGAGCCGCGGCAACAGTTGTGGCACGCACACAGACACAGCACAGCCTGCCACGGATTCTAAATTTAATCGGAACAAACAACAAATTTGTATTTGTAGGTACAAAGTGGTACTCGTGCAACAAAGCACCTGCTCAATATCCAAACAATTATATTTTGACTCGCTTGCTGTTATTTTTAATCTAACCGGCTTGATTGTGATCTTTCATTTCTCATTTCGCCCCCGAAAACAATATATTTCCTCCAGTCATAATTCACCGGAGCAAGTGCAACCACAACAGCAACAGGAAAAGCAAAAAACGGATACAGTAACAACGGATTCGCAGGAATCGCCGCGGGGAAACAACAACCACACCCCCCAAGGAAGACCATTGGAGAGCGGAAAACTAATAGAGATTTCTGAAGTACTCGATCGAATTGTGAAAATGTGTTGCAAATCAAGCGGCAAGTGGAAACCTTGTGGGCCGTCTCCATCTCCATCTCCCAATAGACAGCAGCAGCAGCTGCCACCAGAATCAGCATCCAAATTGAGTCGGCAAACACATTGGAGAACATTTCGCGTCCCTATTCTAGTACTGATCCTGCTCTCGATGCTCCAACTGCAGACGGCTGCCGCCGGAGTCGGGGATAGTCTCCATGGTGAGTGCTCTCATGATCGTGGCGATCGATCGATTTAATGTATTGTAAATACTCGTGTGTGTGTGTAAGATGGCCTGATGGGAGCGTGAAGCGATCATTTGATATTTACGCACTATTTTCTTTTTTAATGGGAACTGTGGGAACTGGATTCAATTTAAGCCCTCTATAAAACCGCTTCCATATAGGACATTTTGATTTCTCTATTAATGATCCTTGTTACGATGCACGTGAAGACAAAAATCGAGGACCTACAACTAATTTTGTCGTTGGAAATCTTCTGGCCATAAGCTCCATTTCAAATCTGATCGTAAAACTCCGAGACTGAAATTGAAGCTGAAACCGAAACCGCATCCACCTCGAGAGAGCTCAACACATTCTTCCAGAACTTAAAAATATTATTAAAATATTTCCAAGAGTTCCTCCTCAGCAGTCCCTCTCTCCAGACTTAGTTATGTGTTATGGCTATGATTCATGGATTTTAACTGCTTTTAGCTGTTTTTTACGAGCTTATAACAGCTTTGGCTGCCAGTAAGCAGCTGGCACCTGGAGCTATTATACTCGCTGATCGCATCGGCTTAGTTACTCCGATCACTTTTCCAGGGAACTTCACGCAATTGTGTCACTGAGTCATCATCTGCATTGTGACATTGTGATCGACTTTGGAGGGTTGTACCTTCGCTAGGTGCTGCCCTTAATCGGCTGTACTTTGTCTCTGAAAATAGTTGTTGGTCTAACTGATCTCTCTCGTTCTCGCTCTCCTGTTGTTATGCGCACGCTCCCCTGAACACGTGCCGCCTCCACTCCCCACGGTCTCTTCCCGTTGTGGCTGGCGCCTAATCTGCGAACTGTGATTAATTAGCAAACGGCGCCGCCGACGCCAGCCGCTGAGGGGGAGGTGGAGGGGAGGGTATGGCGGGAGCAGCTACCGCTCTCCTCTCGGCTTCTAAAACATTTTTGAGTGGACTTTTTTTATGGGGTTTCGAGTGTGTTAAATGAAATAAAAAATCGCATAAATTAGATATATTGCAGTGCCGATAGATCGGGTTACTTGAGCCAAGTTCATTAACTGTTCTGTCCCCCAGCGACGGAACGGAACGATAACGATGAAGCGACGAAAAGAGAAAGGAATATAGAAAGTCCCCGCCGGCAAACGAGAAATTTTTCTGGTTGTTGAGGGGAAATATTCCACTTGATTTGTTTATGAAAGGGTGAGGGTTTAGGGATGATGTGTGCGGTAAGGGATCCAAACAGCAGGACACAATCGTATAGCAGGAAAGAGAAGAAATACATGGCAATCCAGAGGTCCATAATCAAAGGGTTTTCTTTCCCTCGACGCAGAACCCCAAACAAACAAGGGAACAAATTATATAGATTGCACAATGGCAAGGAGGAAGCGGGGGATCAAGCAGTGGATAAGTCCTAAAGTCGCCCACTAAGCGCAGCAGCAGATGAAAAAAAAGGTTGCTCAAATGCATGCTCTCTCCCTCCCTCAGTTGTAGCGCCGGCGTCTTCATTTATCACTGCACACAAAAGAGAGAAAGGGAAGGAGAGTGGCCGCTTGCATTTCTGTGTGTGTGCGTTTATCAGCACATTGCTGGTGGTCTCTCCTCCTCCTCCTTCACCAATACAAAAAGAACAAGAGTTCGGTCTTGGGCTCGGGTCACCTCGTCTCCCTCTCTCACTCTCTGTGGTTTCCGTTTGCCTCTTTCATTGCTGCTGCTCTGTTGTTTTTCTGGAACATGTTTCGACATGCACTGCTTGGTCAAGGTGTATTCATACAAAGGTGAGGCATCAATCCAGAGGACTCTCAGTAGTCGTAAGCAAACAGACAAAGACAATACTAAGAACGATTCAAATTCCTCACCCTGTATAAGTGGACCATTTGACTTGGCGCCGGCGGCAGATCAGCAGGTAGCGGCACAGGCAGAGGAAGCCGAGCCCCAAAAGGTAAAACAAACAAAGAAGCATGCATTCACTCTCACACGGCTACTCCGATAAGTGCCCTAATCTCTTTGACCTGCATGGTGATGGGGGATAGGGGAAGGGGTTCATTCTTCATTTTGGGTCACGTGCTCGGATACCATCTCTCCGTCAGTGGGCGATTTCCGGCGATTCTCGTTGCGTGTTTATTCATGAATGAATAATCTGTGTGTGTTTGCCGAGTATTATTACGTCAAGAGGCAGGAAATGATGGAGACGGGCGATTTACGATCCCCCGATAAGCCCAACTCTCACTATCTTAATCACTAAAAAAAATGTATTTCCCATTTCAGGCGATCTTCTGTCCTGCTCGGTCGAGGGAGAGGAGGTTCTGACGGGTATCCAGAATTCCAAGTGCTTTAAGTGCATCTGCCAGGTAAGTTTCGGAGGTAGTACCAGTTCCAGATCGTCCATTCGTATCCCCAGCCCAAATCTGGGCGGCTCCTGGGATCCTTGCCAAGACTTGGACTAGGACTTGTCCTTTGGCCTCGATAAAAAGTTACTTAAAGTGGAATGAAGTGAAATAACATAACATGGCCAACACGGCCTCAGTCCTGAAATAAATCTCATGTACTCTCCTGTCCTGTTCTGCCCTGTCTGGCTCTCTGCATGAGGTGACGCCAGTGTCCAGCCAGCAGGACATCCACACGCAGACACATTTCATTGAAATAGAATCCTTAGCTGCCTGCCAAAATGAAAATTCAGAAAATATTTTAAATGTCTGTGTACATGGGACTGTCCGTTTGTCCACCAGAGGAGAGGAGACAGACACACCATACATATCTGTGTGTGCCAGCTGTCTTTTTATGGAGGGGCCGGCTGAAGTTATTTCTCGAAGAAATGCAGGAGTTGTAGATCTGGCCGGAACCGGAAAAAAATGTTTGACTCGGTTTGCATTTGTTTGGCTTCACCTTCTTCTTCTCTCTGGCTCACTCTCGCTCTACGGATCTCCCCCTCTCTCTCTATCTCCTTCGCTCTCGCCTTTGAGTTTTTATGATCCAAGGTCGTCAAACGGGTTTCGACGCTACATGACAATCGTTAACCACAGCGTAGGACGGGTATGGATGGTATGGGTAGAGCTAGAGGTAGTATGGCTTAGCGATCGTTTGACAAACACTTGGAGCCGGTACCGACGGGCTTCGATCCCGGGTCTCCGCCACTCTTCCAGCCCCGCTTCCCTTCCCGACTTGAGCTTGAGGTTGAGCTTCGTGTCGTCATTAAGCCAGCGCGTGCTCATTTGGGGGAGGGGGGAGGTAGGCCTTGGTTAGGGTTGCCAGATAGCTGCAAGTGGGTCTGCCTGCCGCTAATTTAACGCTAAGCGCTGCTAAACGCCGCTGCTCCAATTTGACCGACAGACGCCGCCGCCGCTGCCGTCGAAGCTGGCGCCGATCATTCCGATCGATGCCATCCGATCGGGAGCTGCTACGCTTCGCTTCGTCCGACCGACCCCCCGATCGATTGATCGTCGAAGCTCTTTCGCTCCGGGCTAAACTTCGTGGTGATTATTATTTCCACTGTCGCTGCCGTCGTCGTCGTCAAGTGGGCGTAACCGAAATTAAAAAGCAGCAGAAAACACAATGCTGGCGCCACCTTACTGGGAAGGCGCCATGACCAGCCTGCCGTCCCACTCTAGCGCGGCGGCCCATGCTGCATCTCTGTCGCTCCGATCGTTCGACAGTCGATACTCTCTGTTGCGTCGGCGCGCAGCTCATTAAAAGTTCATGAAATCGAATTGAATTTTTGTGTTCGTTTGAACCTCTCTTAACTCTTCACGTCTTGCCTCGTCTCGTCTCTCTCCCCATCAGAAGCTCTCTTGCTCCCTCCACCATTCTTTTAGGGCTGCCAAAAAAGTTCCTCAATGAAGTGTGCAAAGCCTTCAGCTGTAATTTGGAGGAATCACGCATAAACCCGATACTTTATGGCAGCGCGACTGTACCCGTACTCCACTCACACTGGCATACTCATTATTCGTGCGAATACTCATGGGTGGGAGGGTGGTAAGGGGGGGGGAAAGTTTTACTACTGGCGTTTATTGTCCAAAATATATTAGTATATAAACCTACATATGTATACTCATTGAATATATGTATACATAGATACTCGAATATGGAAAGCTTATCCCGTCAAGGACTATCAAAGAAATTGTCTCTCAGACAGTCTCTGACTCCCGCGTCAACAAATTTTTCGTTTTATTCGTTTATTATGCTGAATCCGCAGAATTTCTTTCCTAATGGTTTATGATTTTAACAGTTTTTATGTCAGGATGCCCACTCAGGATGATAGAGAACTGTTCACGATAGATATTTTCGTGAAAGCTGCATGACTCTTGATTAATATTAATGAATGACTTATGATCAGGAAATGGAAATCATCGGAGGATGATGCTACGGAGAAAGATTGAATTAGTAGATTGTGACTATCAATATATTGCATTCCGCATGAGGCAGCAGGAAGCAGGCAGCAGAGCGGGCATTCTATTCTTGATTTGTGCAAGTATTTCAATTATTTCGTTTTAGTTTAAGCCATGAATATCGAATACAATGTAGAATAGTAGAGCACGTGAAAACCAGATCTGGCCAAATATTCAGGTCTGCCAACTCCTTTCTTGCATATTCCATTTGAATTCCATTCGATTCCGAGTTCAATTCCACGACCAATTCGAGCCATAGCCCCACAAGTGACAAAATACACATGACCATAAAACCACAAGACTGTCATTACCATATATACTCCGTGTCTAAAGAGACTGAGACTCTAACCTGGCCAAGTTTGCCGGCCAAACGTTTGCCGTTTGCGCCAAGAAGGAGATGGAGAGCGAGAGGGGCAGCAACAGAAACAGAGACGACGCAGAAGGAGAGGAAGACGAGGACGGTGTTAAAACTGATCATGTTTTGTCAAACGCAAGGTCGTTAGAGGCCGTTTGCAAATGTGGTTCTGCCACTGTGGCACAGATAGATACACACGCACACACACACACGCTGCCGCTGGGCAACAACCATTCTACATAGCCATCGCTTGGGTTGCCATCGTGGCGCCTCTCTCGCGGAACGGAGCTGGGCACAAATGTGCTTTAACTTTCATGTTGGCTGAACATTTTTCCATACCGGTTCCAGATTAGAAAGAAAGAATTCCAAAACATAAACAGCTGGATGGAGATGGGGATAGGAGAGGGGTAATGGCTAATGGGGAATCGGAAGGGGAAGGGGAAGAGGGTACTCTGTGGACAATTCCATGTCGTTGCCAGATTTCGAGAACTTTTGAGCTTTGAGCCGAGAGACAGAAAGCGATTAAGGTGATATTCAATTCCATTTTATGGCTGCCACAAAATAGAGAGAATGCCATACTAAAGTGGCATTAAAATTCCAACTAGCAACTGCCATTAAATCTAATACGATGATAAACATCTCCCCTCCGCTCAGACACCCATCGAATTTTCATTTTCATAACAATTGCAAATGTTGCTCGTTGCAGTTTCCCCCCCTATCCAAATTGAGATCCAATCTGGTTTCGTTGCACTAAATTATTCACACAGATTCACATACACAGACACACACAGTATACGAATGCACACTGAAAACCCTCTCGAGACACCCAGACATTGTTCGGAGCAACTGCATACAAATTAGTGAAATATTTTGCCTGTTTTTGGTCGACATCTATCTAGATTTATAGATACATTTACAATTAGCGGCGGCCCCAGCAGCCGCAGCCGCAGCTTCAGCTCCGACTCGACTCGGGCCCGGACTGGGTCTGGCTTTAACCTGTCACAGTTACAGCCACCAGTCGGACACACCAGCTGCGCACAAGGGTTAAAGGCAATTGCATAAGCCTGGCAAGTTGCAACAATTTGACTTATGATCGACATCAATTCTAATGGGCCGCGTTGCAGCTGTCAGCATGTCGTTAACGAGCAGCAGCAAAAACTCCAGATACATAGGTACACCTATGCACCAATAGATACGAGTGCTCTCGTGGCCATAGGCCATACGATTCGACAAGCCAAATGGTGTGACCAAAGGTGGTGGGCAGGGGATTAGGATTGGGAATCAGCTAACGAGTGGGGCAGCTTTAGGGATAAATTACCGGAGCATAAATCATCCGAATCCGCGAGAAACACTCTGCATAATCCCGGTAGAACCCCGTTTCCCCAATCCGAGACAAAGTCAAGGCAATCGACACGCCCCTGTCTGGATTTGCTAGCGTAAATTACAGCGGAGGCCTGCTGACTGGCTGGCTCTGGCTCCCCGAAGGTCAGAGTGCACAGCTTCATTGAGCAATTGCAAATGGCAGGCAGCTGTTGGGCTATAAATCAGTCCAGAGAGAGGGTTCGAGATGCAAATCATACGCTTAGCGAGTCTGAAAGTCATCTCTTACTCGTGAAAATTGCGCACACGCCACATGGGATCGTCCTTCCTAGTTCTAGAGCCACCACATTAATTGCGTGTCTCCACATTGGTCTCCACAGAATGGCTTTGTGAATTGCGCCAAGAGCTGTCCGGCCATCGACGATTGCTACTTGCTGGAGTCCAAGCTGGAGTCGAGCGACCCTTGTTGTCGCAAGTGTAAAGGTAAGTCCCCGCAGAGAGAAATGGCTACAGAAGGGAGTCTTTGATCGGAGATTCCTTTGCTCAATAGGTTGCATCTTTCGTGGGCTGCCTTATGAGAGTGGCGCCGAGTGGAGCGACCCGGAGGATCCCTGCAAAACGTACAAGTGCATCGCCAGTGTTGTCACCGAGACAATACAGAAGTGTTATTCACAGTGCGACGACAACCAGCTACAGGCACCGCGCCCTGGCGAGTGCTGTCCTTCCTGTCAGGGTAAGTCCTTACCTAACATCACTCATGAAATCACTCCGATCCGATTCGAGCCGAGCGATTCCACCCAGTCTGAGTGTCAGAGCGTCAACATCACTCACTGAAATTAGCTGCAGCCTCAGACTAATGCCTCATAATCGCCAGACAATAGAGAGCCGGAGAGCGACAGATGGACAACAATGTGTCCACAAAGCGATACACTGCCAGAGGGTTCTACGGGTGGATGCTGAAAGATGATCGGCAGAGGGAGAGATAGATAGGAGATCGTTGCCCAATACTTATTGGAGGATCACTTTCAGTTCCTGTCGATGTAAGGCGCGATCATTCAGCTTCCCCTTTGGAAACACCTCACAGATTGAGTCCAAGCATGCTTGACATTCGATATACAATCAGATTAAAGATCATTGAGACTTCTTTATGACTCTATTATCAAATGATTTATTCATGGGGCATTCCGATATTCGACTCGAACCGTCTTCCGATCTGTTTTGATCCGTTCTGCCCCTCTGTTATTGTTGGCTCTGACCGATCTGCTGGTTTATGGGCTTTAAATTGTCTATTAAGGTGACAATGTCGCCCCATCCCCATCCCATCTGAGGAAACAACAATATCAGAGACCGGACCAAAAAGAGACTGAAAGTCCGTGAGCCCCGGGCCCTCGTATGAGTTGAAAACCCGTTTCAGCGATCGCATTCGATAGCCGATTCGCCTTGTGGAAAATTTCTTGGCTTGCGGCCAAAGATCGGAAAGCGATCTAAATCATATGCGATAAAATAGGCCGATGTCTGATTACTGATGTCTGACGGGATTCGATGTGCTTAACTCTTTGGCAGGTTGCAAGATCAACGGACAGACGGTCGCCGAGGGCCAAGAGGTCGTCGCCTCGATCGACGACCGCTGCTTGGTCTGCCATTGCGGCGACAACCAGTTGACCTGCGCCAAAAAGACCTGCCCCATTCTGCAGTGCCCCAAGACGAAGCAGAAGCAGCACCCGAACGAGTGCTGCCCCCGCTGCACGGAGCAGCGCGTCTTCATACCAGTGACAGGTGAGAAGAGTCCCAGCCCCTCTCAGCCCACCCACCAGCCACCCTAATGTACCCTGTTCCATGTCTCTCCACTCTCTTCGTTCTCCAGGAAAGTGCATCTTTAACAACAAACTCCACTATGACAAAACGCAGTTCATGCCGGACCGATGCACCAACTGCACCTGTCTTAACGGCACATCCATCTGCCAGCGGGCCACGTGCCCCATCCTGGAGTGCGCGCCAGAGTTCCAGGAGGACGACGGCTGCTGTCCCCGCTGTGCGGTGGCCGAGGTGCGGAGCGAGTGCAGCCTGGAGGGGATCATCTACAAGAACAACGAGACGTGGAACATGGGCCCCTGCCGGAGCTGTCGCTGCAACGGAGGCACGATCCGCTGCTCGGAGATGCGCTGTCCGGAGGTCAAATGCCGGGCCAACGAGGAGCTAAAGCTGCCGCCGGGCGAGTGCTGCCCCAGGTGCGTGGAGACTGCGGGCACCTGCACAGTGTTCGGGGACCCGCACTTTAAGACCTTCGACGGAAAGTTTTTTAGCTTCCAGGGCAGCTGTAAGTACCAGCTGGCTGCTGACTGCCACGGGCACAGCTTCCACATCCGGTTGACGAACGACGGGCGTGGCACGAAGCGCTCCAGCTGGGCCAAGACAGTGACTCTCAAGCTGCACAACCTGCGCATCAATCTCGGCCAGAAGCTGCGCGTCAAGGTGAACGGGACGCGGGTGATGCTACCCTACGTGGGCCGAGCCGGCGACCAGAACGTGACCATCGGTCGGCTGGCCGAGGACGGGGCTGTCCTGCTGCGCTCAGAGATGGGCCTTGCCATAGAGTGGGACGGAAGCGGTTTCCTCCAGGTCTCGGTGCCTGCCCACTTCAAGCACCGGATGTGCGGCCTGTGCGGCAACTTCAATGGCAGCGGGCGCGACGATCTCACAGGACGCGACGGGCGCCCGCACGGCGACGACGAGGTCTGGCACTTTGCCAACTCCTGGAAGGTGGGGGGCCCCAAGTCCTGCTCCCGCCAGCGCGAGAACATCGCCGCCCTGCCCACGTGCAACAAGCGCCGGTCGAGCTTCTACTGCCAGCCGCTGCGCATCTCGGAAGTATTCGGACACTGTGATAGTAGGCTTAATCCCATCAACTACATCGACTCCTGCCGCATGGACGTCTGCGAGTGCCCGTCGGGCAGCTGCCACTGCGACAGTTTCGCGGCCTACGCTCACGAGTGCCGCCGCCTTGGTGTCCAGCTGCCTGATTGGCGGAGCTCCACCAACTGTCCCGCCGGCTGGAGACGGAATGCCACACTCGCGAACTTCCTGGACAACGAGTACTACGGGGATAGCTTGAGGCGCTTTCCCGGTCCAGGCTCTCTCAAGGGGCGGCGCCGAAAGCAACAGCAGCAGCACCTGCAGCATCTGCAGCAGAGGAGCAGGCAGAATCAGAATCAGCAGAAACAACATCAGCTCCAGAAGCAGAATCAGAATCAGCTCCTGGACAATGAGTTCATCAAGAAGCATGTCCCCAGCAGCCTGTTGCAGCAGCGTGCGCCGGATCGTACGCCGCCGCCACTCCACTGATTTGTGGACTGAGAAAGAGAAAACCCCCCCTCTGCCATAAGTTACTACACGCACACACACACGTACACTCTCTCACACTCGCACGCACATTCTCTCAAAGCGAGTTCCGCTTTTCTTAGCATACTTTTGGCGGAAGCCGAAAAGAGTTTAGAGAGAGTGAGAGAGTAGTTTAATCCGCTCCCATGACAGACAGACACGACAGACGCGACAGACAGGCAGCAGTATTACGCTGAAGCATTACGTACAGTACTTTGGAACAGGCAGATAGATGTAAAGATTTAATGCACTATACATCAATGAAACTCATCCTCCAACTGTCGCCATTTCGCATAGATAGACTAAGTTTTATTTATTTTAGCTTTAGTAAAGGAATTTTCTTGATTATATTAAACGGCTCTATACAATACCTACTATATATGGATATATCCTGTATTGGAAGTACTATTATGATGATGACGATGATGATGATGTTTGTTGTGTGCGTGTGCCTGATTTTTTGTATTTGTATTCGTGTATGTGTGGATTACGTTACGCTAATTAACAAATTGAACTCTTGCTAGAACTCTTCAAAGGTCCTCTAGTTAGCGTCTAAGGAAACTAAGAGGTAGACCTAAACCTAGCTAAAGTTTGCTTAAAATTTAAGACCTACGCCTAAGTCCCCCAGACAACAACACCTAGAACATCTACTACTAACACTACTACAATGCTACTATACGTATGAGAATGGCACAAACAGTATTTTTGCTTAGTTGAAACTTTGAACTTGAACGAAGCCTAGAGTCCAGAGAGATCCGTTCAGACCAGATCCATCTCCAGTCTCTTACTCTTACTCTCCTACTCTTCAACTAAATACTTAACCATCTCAAAGAAGAACTTTCCAATTACTAATTCCGCGTATAACCTTATCTTATAACCTTTTTACCCCCCAAAACTGTGTTAATATTTATAAATCCCTACCTAAATATGAACTTACTTCTCCAACTACTCGTATTTAACCGTAAACGTAAACCGTTAGAGTAATCCGAAAGGAACTCCGTAGGAACACGAAAGGAGACGCTCTTTGCCATTTTTTCAATTATATGGATTAATCAAGTTAAACTTTAATTAGTAATTTACTTAACTATAAAGATGCAAGATACTTCTTGAAATATACCATAGTATGGCTGGATCTGTAAATTTTCCAGCAGAAATATCCTACAGAGAAGAAAAGAACAAAGGACACCCCAATGCAACAATTGCAAATGGATAAATGAAATTAAAATATACGAAAAAAAAATCTAACGAGACATGTGTTCATATTCGGGGATATAGCAAAGTGCTATGTCATCGGTTTCGCAGGCACGAACTCCCGCCACAGTCGCAGACTCAATCGCACTCTCAGTCTCAAATCCAACTCCATTTCCCGTTCAGACTGAACAAAGAATTGGAGACGCTGCGTCTGGGGAGTCACGGAAGGAAGTTAAGTGAGGCAAGCACTCCCAGCAGTCCAAAGCAGTTGCCAAGGGCCAGCACTCCAGCATCCAGCACTCCGACCTCTCACGAGAGGCAAAAACAGAGTCCACCCAATCAGAGCCAGAGTCTGGCTGGCGTCGAATTACGAGGCACTGGTAATGGCCATAGGCACTGGCAATGCCAATTTATGCTTGTTTGCTTAGCAATAATTGTCAGAGTTGTCTAGGGTTGGGTGACCAATTCCAGTCCCAATCCCAATACCCGCCGGAGATGCGATGGCAGAACGGAGTGCACAAGCCTGTCTGTAATTTGAACATGCCACAAGCAGCGGCTTGTTGATTTCTTGGAAAGAGCCACATCGCACACACTCAAAGAGCTCGTAAATTCAACGATCCGATCGAAGGCGATTTAGAAGGAAAACACAATCTGGCCACTGGCCATTTCTCATTGCTCATTGAGGAAAACCACAGGCAGTGGCAGAGCCACGCAACAGGCACGTGCACGGAATAAGCAACAAGTCGATTCCCATTTCAATTGCAACCTGATTGATGCCCGTCGCTGCTCGTTATTCAGCAGAAACGATCTCGATCTGGTCTTTGGTCTGCCTCTGGCTGTGGTTGTGGCTCTGAGACTGCAACTGCGACTAGCCTCTGGTGACATCTGCCTGATGTAATGCCTTTGAATGCTTCCGCGTGTCGATCGCCTGGAGACGCCGGCCGACGCGTGCTCTGTCCTTATCAGGCGCTGCCCTGTCCATATCGGTGCAGATGCCATATCCATTCCATTGGGGAGATCTGGGGAGCCAGCGACTGGTGTGGCGCCACGGCGTGAGCCAAATTTGGTGAAGGCCTTTGGTGTAATGTTTGTCGGACAAGTGGCGTTTACCGCATTCCCCATGGGGCGGCATTAGACCAGACATGGGCACATAAGTGACGGTGCACTCAGCCTCCTCTCATCCGCTCATAATTCATAGAAATTTCGCCCTTAACCACTTAAAATCCCCAATTTATCAATCCGTGGTCCAGCAACGCTGTAGGACTCATAAAGATGTCCAGCTGTCCAGATAAGCCTCCGCCAAGGACAAGCCGCGAACATCGATGTCCTCCGCCATGCATCATCTGCCAGATGATGAGGATGAGGATAGGATGGAATGAAATGGGAGCGCTCCTAAGTGTGCATAAGCGAGTGGAATCGCATGAATCATCCGGAGTGGGCGTGGGAGCATCCATTGTCATCGTCTTGGCCATTAGCGCATACAGACATATGTCAGCGGCATCCACTTCCACTGGCATTGACACCCACGTAAGCCGGTCGAAGGGCAGTACTTTCCCATTGCCGCAAGGATTTGAAGGAGGTTGGAATACCGAAAATCCGCGACTCAGAGTTCTGCCCACGCCTGGTTACCAAATGGGGATGTTGACAGAACTGGACAAATGTGGCATTATTTATGCTATTGATCCGCCGGAAACACGAGTGATTGTGAGAAAGACGGAGACGAAGAGGAGTGCATAGAATCAAAATAAATTGTAGCATACTCTTCGGCGCTGGCCTTAAAGCAGAAGCAACGCACTATGGTCCGAACGACCACTTTTGTTGGCCAAAATTAATAACTCCCGAACGGAACAAGATTTTTTCATTTAGTTTTTTGTATTGGATATATATAATCAATAAGAAATGGATTTAAGAAAAAAAATGGGTGTGGCACCGCCCCTTTTTTTAATAATGCATATTTAAATTTTTAGTTATAGTGAAAAAAAGTATTAAGCATATTTTATTTAAGAAAACGGCGTTGCACGACTAAAAAAAATTTTGATTTAAATAAAAATAAAATCGTTTAAAGGTTTCCGTAAATTATTGCCGAAATCCTTGTCTAGAAGCAAGGTTAACGCCTCGTTAAGTGAGATATGTGCCGGCTTTCCGACTGGGTCCTGTACAGCCTTACGAACTTAGTTAGCATATTTGGACATAAAGATAAATGTATTATAACAAAGGCTTGTGGCCAATCCACATATTTTCGTTCAAACATCTTTGAATTTTACCGGCATTTGTTCCGGTATGTTGCCAAACGGTAACAAATTTTCTTGCTGGTATCTTCAAAAGCTTTATTAATTTCATATGATATGTCGCCTTAAGATCCGTTTTCAAATAATTGATAATTTTACCCTTCTCTGAATTCCATTCGGCAAACAAATCTGCATTTTCGAATTTGAGGTTATGCTCTATTAATGCAAATTCCAAGAATTGTGGTAAAAAGTGGCATTTCTTACTATATACATTTCAAAAAGAATTTATTAATCTACGACACAGAAAAGGTTTCAGGGTGGGACTAGGTAGGACTCACTTTGTACACCTTTTCAAAAATTAGTTTTCATTACAAGTTGGCACATGTTGAAGGCCTCACTTTAACCTTCAATTACGAAGACATCAGAACTACTAGAGACAGTTAAAAACTCAAAACACGTAGTAAGAACCCGACAGATCAAGATTCATCAAAAAAATGTAATCACGTCTTGGCGTTTTTCAATTTTTGAGATATCTAAAGTGGTTATTAATTTGCCACTTTTTCCCTTCACGTGCTTTACTATAAAAACAGTTGGGTTGGACAGCTGATTTTGCGAATGTGGCGCCATCTATGGAAATTTCTGGTACGCAGATTTAATGGTCGATCTTTTTCTAATGCAGAGCGATCAAAACCAGGTTTCAGTTTTGACTTTGAAAAATTAGGTTTTGGCCAACAAAAGTGGTCGTTCGGACCATAGTGCAACGGGGTGCCAATTCCGAGTGACTCTTCTCCGCCCACCGAGTAACAACTGATGAAGGGGATGCAGAAAGCATACGGAAATTAAATCTATATTTGGACCGTTCGGACAGTCGTTCAATCTATATGAAGATACACACATACATACATATGCTTCATTCGGTGCTAACAAATACAGTGGACACTCTCACTTCTTATGTTCCACCTTAACAACAGCGTCCATCAAATTCCTCCCTTAAATTGAAATTTCAATACCATTCTGACAGCCAGGCTCCGTTTTTCACATTCACAAAAGTTTTCCGATTTACTTTTGAATACACATAAATTGGGGCTTCCGTTTTCACATTCCGCAAGATTTATTCGTTTTCAAAACGAAAACATTTTCGTTGACGAAATGAAAAATTTTCGTTTTGGTGCAAACAGCAAAAATGTGTGAAAACTGGAGAGCCTTAAAACGAAAACAAAACGTTTTAGCTGAAAAAGTAATCCGCAAAAGTAAATGAAAAACGGAGCCTGCCTGATTAAATAATGTAATAAGTAGTCTTTTTTCCGAAATCCATATTTTCTGCAGAATTTCCGACATTTTTCTCCAGATGCGTTTCATTTGCCGACACCGTAGATTAAGTTGTCTTGCCCATAGTTAATTAACTGTGTAAATTGCTTATTAATTGACGACACCTCCCCCATAAAACCCTCCTCCACACAGCTGTCAATCAGTGTCAGTCATTAGATATACAAATATCGGCGGAGATTTGTGTTGCTTACGTGAACACGAGACGAGACTGAGATGGCTAAATGAATTATTGAATTAATAAATAGATTCCCTCGTTCCCCATCTCCATCCATCTATGTATGTGATTCTTATTGGTTTTTGACTAATTTAATTGGCAATCAAGTATTCAGCGTTCGCTCTAATGGCGATGTCTTGTGTCACTGAAGCCACTGAAGCAAAATTAATTACCAAGATATTGGCCATTTGAATGGTAACTCTCTATGTCCGAAGGACTTCCCATAGAACTCTTTCTCTCTATCGCGTACAGAATCACTTGCTTTCGCACCTCGACAGACAGCGAGGCGTCGGCATTCGTTGGTTTTTGTTGGTAAGCGAAAACTGGTTGGCATCCAGATCCAACGCATTGAGATGTACATTTGTATGTATGTACATATGTACATTTGGCGAGTCAATATTGGTTATTAATTATATTAAAATAACTTTGCTTGTTCCCCGATTCGATTATTGTACCTGTATTCACATAATTCATTTCATTTTCGCTAAAACGAAGATCCCATCGCAATCAGATGCAATTGTGCAAACCCGACTGATGCTGCTGCTTCTGCTGCTACCAAATGACGGAAGTTGTTCGTGTGCAATCCGTATGGGGTATTAATTGCGCTTATCTAATCCCAAACACCATCGTAATTCCAATTCAGTGAATGGCGCAGTGATCGGTGATCAATGTTGCGGGTGATCTGTGACTTCGCACGTGGATTGGCGAAAGCCTTCCGCCCATCAATCTTGATCGCTCACTAATAACAGCAATTAGTGCCAAAAGAATCCACAGATATTGAAAAGGGAATACTAATTAGCCAAGCTTTTGGGGGAAGGTCGAAGTGTGGATACCCCGCTCTCACATGCTACAACCCATCAATGATCCATAAATTAGCAGCACCATAAGGTGTCTGTCTGACTTTCTTCTCGAATTTCTCCGTCATAAATCCACGAAGAGAAGCTTAAATCACGCGTCATTCTTAAGTGCCGCCTTTTTGGGCATAAGCGTTGTCGCAATTTGCATATTAAAGCCAATAAATTTTGTCTAATAGGTTCTAAGTTTTGCTGGCACTGGACAGATATGTGTGCCAATAAAAATCGGGAAATTAATTGCTCGCCTCCTGAAATGTATAGCCGCCGTTTCCCAAGCAATCCAAGGGACCTAAAAAAAGCTCGTGTATATATGGATCTTTTAACAATCGCATTAACTTCAAACGCGCACATTTTATGGTCTGTTCTGTCAACCGATCGATCCATCGATCGTCGGATCCCAGCACGTGGTAGCAACGAACTTTGGGGCACTCTCTTCTCCCAACGCAAGCGTCTCGGAGTGATACAGAATATAGTAGAAAAGAGCAGAACAGAACAAAACAAACGAAACCGCGAAGATTCACTCCTTATCGGGTATACTCGCCCTCAAATTAATATTTATATTTATTATCATTATTTTGTATAAACTTGTTCTTGGCCGTTTTGTTCTAAACGTGTTAGAAAGGCTTGGCTTCGGTTTGGTCTGGCTATGGCTGTGGCTGTGGCTTGGACTTTGCGAAATGGCATTCGAATCGAGAGAAATATATACAAAAGTTAGTTAGCAGGCGGCACACTCTCTAGCTCTCTAGTACCAGTCCCAGTCCCAGTCCCGGTCTCTGATCTCAGTTCTGTTCAGATCATTCGGACAGAAACATTCAATAAAGACGGCCACGCGCATTCTACCGCGCCTCCCATTGAAAGTGCCCATTCCCATTTAGCAGAATGTCTGATTTTGTACCATCTTCGATAGCCTGCCTGACGCTGATGCTGCTGCAGATGGTCCTTGCCAAGGAGTACAGCTGGTGTGATCCAACGCTCTGCGAAAAGGGTGTGCGGCATGTGGCCTGCCGGAATACAGGGGTAACTACAACGGAACAACAAAAGATTCAACAGCAACTGATGGATACTTTGGTCCGCTCCCGATCCCGCTAGCACTTTCACAGACGCTGCCAGCCGGATTCCTTCCAGGTGGACATCAGTCGCCACAAATCGGACTTCCTGCACGCGCACAACAAGAGGAGGAACTTCCTGGCGCTGGGACGAGTGCCCGGCTATTACCCAGCCGCTCGCATGGCCACCATGGTAGGAGCCCCCTTAAATTTTTGCTCGTAGAAGAGTCTTAGTAGAATCACTCGTACTCGTAGGTGTGGGACGATGAGCTGCAGTATCTGTCGCAGCTGAATACAAATACCTGTGTGCTGGATCACGATGACTGCCACAGCACGTACCGCTATGCCAACTCTGGCCAGAACCTATGCGCGGTGTGGCGTAACAGGAATCCCCATGTGAATGTGACCAGCCTAGTGGAGGAGTGCATCGGACTGTGGTTTAACGAGTGGGATCTGATCGACAACAGCTTCATCGACGCCTTCAAGGTGACGCCGATATTGTGAGTATTGAGGGCGACTCCTATCCCTCGTCTAGGGACTACTGAAGCATAATGCGTATCCTACCTTAGCGAGGACTATGGACACTTTGTGGAGATGAGCGTGGACAAGAACTTCGCCATCGGCTGCTCCATCATGCGCTTCACGCGGCCCGACTACCCCTCCGTGTACATCTACAATGTGGTCTGCAACTACGCCTCGCTGTACGCTTTGGGCGCAATCGTCTACGAGACGGGCTATCCGGCCTCGCGCTGCACCACGGGGAAGAGCAACTTCTATCCGGGTCTCTGCTCCACTCGCGAGGAGTACGATCCTAATTGGTGATCTATGGTGATCTAAACATCTTCCCTTTAGTTTTACTCAGGTCCAACTGTCAAGTATTGAGAAAAGAAACCCGTAGCTTTACATAAAAAAAACAAACGAATAAATGATCGCATCGACGTCACGTTTTGTTCGATTCCAGTAACTTTGCATAATTTATTTCAACAAAGTCATCGGCATCCCATCTCATTTCATCCATGGCTGACTTCTGACTTCTGACCGGCTGACTCCGTCGACTCCGACTGTCATTGCATAAGCACAAAATAAATTATCGTCTAAGACTACGCCGCTGTACGACTCCCGTATACGTTTTAGTCAAACAAAACGCTTCTACAAAGAAAGCGCTCGCCCGGTCGTCTGGTCTCGCTCTCCGTCTCTTTGTCCGTCTCCATTTTGAGACTGGTTTGGCATAAAAAACTTTCGTTTATTATTGTCCAACAGATCATAAAGAGATCTTCGAAGATCCACCTCGAGTATGGAAATCTCGACTTTAAGTTGATTTGTGTGCAGAACTTATTGATTTGTTCTTTGTGATTGAAAACCTGTCCCGACTGGAAGTCGCTAAATACGCGGCACATATGGGCAACAACAGCCAGAAAGCAACAGCGATATTATAGTTTCTTAGCCGAAACTCACCAATTGGGTCAATGTCAGTGGCGAAGCCCCAGAATCTAGAACCACACACAGAGCCCGGAGTCACTGAACTGTTGGAGACGCCCACGCCGAGTTGATTCTCGATGAGTGGAGTCTGAATGAATGAGATTTCCCAGAAATAGATGTTAAATTTCTATGAGATTTGGTTATAATGGGGGTATGATAGATTATTCATCACTTAACACACAATTCAAAGCAGTAGTGACACCTTTTCAACTCTATTCTTACTCTGAGAAGCTTGAACTTCACCCAACTCTGGGTGTATAACCTAATTTAATGGGTTTGTTTTTTTAGTTCTAGATTTGTCTGAGGCTAATCTTGCTGTGTAAAATCTCTTAAACCTACTATAGAGGACTACTGGATCTATTGGATACGTGTAACTTAAAGGATCCTACCTAAGGAATCGGTCTTGTCTAGACAGTACCCAAATAACAACTAATCTATTCCAACGCTCTCCACTTTTCGGCAAGCCTGAACTCCACTCAACTTTGGGGCTTTATGAGCGAGTTTTCCTAGAAGTCGTGCGCCTCGTCCGCGACTTTCGGTGTTAACGCTCTGAGCGCTCTTCAGAGGTGAGGACCGAGACAGAGACAAAGACAAAGACCGAGACGTCCGCCAGAAAATGGAAATGATTCATAAAACGTTGCTTGACCTGTCTCAAGCACTGCGGACGGCTGACCAGCCCGCGTGCAGCTGCGGTTTTCGGAATCTGAATCGGTCCCGCACTCCGAACCCCACTTCGAACCGCGTTGGAAAACAAACAGCAAACGTTGCCAAAAATAAAAACCAAAATAAATATACGCGGTATCAAATCAAAATTTCTGAATAAATATCGCCTTGGTGGTGGTCAGGATCTGCACTTGTGATTGCATTGACATCCGGAGAACATGGAGACTGGGAAATATCTCCTGATCAGCGTTTTGCTGATGCCCATGGCGATCGGACAGCCGCTGTCTTGGTGCGACCCGCAGCTCTGTCCGGAGGGAAAGGTGCATATTGCGTGCAACAACAACGGAGTAAGTGATCTCCATGATCCCTCTGCTTCTGAGTTAACCAGGAATTATCCTCGATAGAAGTTCCATGAGACCTGCTCGGAGGATGCCACCATGGTGAATCTGAAGCCGCATCGGTCGTTCATCCTGAATGAGCACAACAAGCGGCGCAACTTCATCGCCTCGGGCTCGCTGCCGGGCTACTTTCCGGCTACGCGGATGGCCACCATGGTGTGGGACGAGGAGCTGGAGTATCTGGCGACGCTCAACCTGAAGACCTGCAATCTGGAGCACGACGACTGCAACCACTCGTTCCGATTCCGGAATCTGGGTCAGAATCTGTGCGGCGTGGATCGCTACCGTAGTGCCCCAATGAACGTGACCAATCTGGTGGAGCAGTCGCTGGGTCTGTGGTTCGGCGAGCACCATGTCATCGACAGTAGCTTCATCACCGACTTCCGGGTGACCAGCAAACTGTAAGAGCAGTTGCCCCCACATTTTCGTTTTCCGCAGAAACGTAACAATCCTTGTTTTTTTTTTGTTGGCAGGGAAAAGTACGGTCACTTTGTGGAAACGGTGGTGGACAGGAACACCCATGTCGGCTGCGCCATGATGCGCTTCACCAACCCGAAGTACCCGTTCCTTTACATCTACAACACAGCATGCAACTATGCCAGCGTCTATGCCATCGGCGTCCCCGTCTACAATGCGGGCTTACCCGCCTCCGAGTGCCTCACGGGCAACAATCCGCAGTATCCAGCCCTCTGCTCCGTGAAAGAGAAATACAACCCAAACTACAATATATACAAGGACTGAACCAAACTCTTCATCGTTTTCGTTCCCATTGATCCCGAGACAATCATCTGTTTCTAATTAATACGTCAAGTGCTGTTTATTTCGGTCCGGCTGCTAAATTCGGCTGGGTGTTAACTTCCAGTTCCAATCAGACAGACAGGCAGATCGTAATTTATAAATCTTAACGGAAACAGTCCGATGCGGTTCTCGCACAGTGGATCTGTTCGATTGATCCGTGAAATCACGAGAAATCTGGGAAATATCTGTAGAACCTTCCGTAGAGATATACGCGTTACACTGTTTGCTCGGACTGTACTTTTTATGCAAACTAAAGTATAACATAAATGTAATAGATTTTCTTGCAAAGAAATTTTTTTTGCGAAAAAACCCGTTGGACATAACACCTTGGAATGTGACTGTCGGATGTTCATATATCATAGTGTTTGGATCATTTTGCAATCTGTCAAATCAGATAGCCTAGGCCTCTGTTTCTGAATTACAGACTTTAATCGTTTTTTTTAAAACGAACTGAATCCCAGTGTACTTTCTGTTATTTTTCACGCCTGGTTGCATGTGAGTGACCTAACCGGCATTCATTATAACACTGTGATGAAATGTGTTTGCAATCAGCCGATCGCTAATTAATTTTTGATCACTCAGGATCACATTAAAAAGCTGTTAATTAATCAATGAGAATGCACCCAGCACCAACACCGCCACTCATCCCATAGCAACCATCCATCCATAAACGCGAAAACAATGCACGCTGAATCAAGTTGGGCTCGAGTTGCCTGTTATTTTTTCAGTCAATTGTTGGCAATTTACGGCCGACAGCCTGTGCCTGTGCCTGAAGCTGGAACTAGGCCTAGATGCAGCAGACTCCTATAACTCAGGCCTCCCTGTGTGGGATTGGCCTGTGGAGTTGACAAGGGATCACAGCAGCTGTCCCTGCTCCTCCGCGCCTCCTTCCGCTGCCCACTCAGAGCATGCCAGAGTTCCCCTCTCATGCATGTGGCATTTGGCATCTGGCTCTCCCGATCCCCATCCGAATCTGAATCAGAATCAGTGTCTGATTTTTATCTTGTTTTATCTGCAGCCATGCATCATAAATGAGTTCGCTGCCTGCCGTTTTTCCTGTCCACACAAATCTCTCGAGTGCACTCCCACGGACACTCACATCTTTGTTGGCTGTAGGTTATGCAAATTCCGATTACGAGGCTTTATCGCCATCAGAATCGGAGATCTGGTGCCCAGCTGCCAAATAAAGATCTCTGTTGGGACAGCTCTAGCATTTATTGGACACTTGCTATGAGATTAGGAATGGGAATGGCAATGGGAGGCCCTACTACCACCAGATGCCTAGGTCGCTGAACAGCTCCTCGGTGGTAGGGAGCTCAAAGTCTTCGTTGACCCACTCGGAGCGTGGCTGGCTAGAGGTCTTCTGGGTCCCAGTGCTAGTCCCAGTCCCAGTTCCAGTGCCATACTCCTTGCGGTATCCCACGTCCTCGCGCAGATCCTCCTCGTCGTACTCCTCATCGTCTTCAACGGCTTCCAAGGAGGTGGTCATGTTGGACTTGCGCTTGAGCGGTGCCTGCGGCAGGCACTGGTCCCCCAGCATGCGGTGCATTCTGCCAATCTCATCCGCTTGCTTGGCCGGCTGCTGCTCCTCCCCCACCTCCACCGGCTGCTCTGCGCCGGACGAGTCGACGCCGCTACCGGCTGACGGCTGCGGAGAAGACGCCAGACGCACAATTCGGTCAAATAGCGTGGCAAAGTGCCGCCTGAAGCGACCATATTCGAAGCTGTCCTTGTTGGTGTCGGTGGCATCCAGCAGTCCATGGGTCGAAGTCGATTTGGAGCGGGTCAGTGGCCCAAAGTGATGCAGCATGTCTATGCCGGGCGCCATCGATTCTTCCCAACTCTGTAAAGAAAATAGGTGGCAATCAGGTTCGATTTTTCCCAGTTTTTCACTCAGTGTCCAATCACCAGTTCGGTCCAGTCCTCGACGGGAACACTTAGAACAGAGCCTACAACGTTGACTACCCGCTCCTCCAGGTTCAGAGCCTGAATAATCCATTTGGCCAAAGCCACGGCGCAGTTTAGGTCACAGCGTTGCCTGCAATCGATAATTAAATAAATTCAAATAGAGTATGACATCAATGGTATACCCTGTACTCGTAATAATGTTCTTTCTGTATTCCCCTAAGGAGAGGCAAACATTTGCCAAAGAGTTAGAGTAGTTTTCTGATTGTTCGGAGCATTTCCCTATCTCTATGTATGTATCTCTTTAGAGGGTATAAAACAATCTTTATTTTAATGGAAAGCGCTGGAATAAGTTATAGTGGGAGAATACCCTAATGGCCTTGGTAATTATCGGACACTCCACATGGCACGCACAGCCCCCATCCACCCACCTGCGCTCGTCCCGCCGTATATCCACGAGCTTGTCGCCCTCGAGTATCAGCTGGTCGTAGTTCGTCTCGATTTGCATGGTGAGGGCCTCCTTGGGCTCCTGCTCCTGCTGCTCCTGCAACTGTCGCTGGAGGGTCTTGAACTGCTGCCAGAGGTCCTCCATTTTCTCCTAGAGGAAGCGAGAGGAAGACGTGATAATGAGAGATGATCCTACATGGGGAAATCTCCGCCACTCACCGTCTGCTTTCGAATGTTCTGCTGGGTCTCGTGGTGCACGTCGACGCGATGGAGGATGGGCTGGGTGGGCAGGAAGGGGGCGGCCATGAGCCGCTCCACGCGCCGATTGAGCACCCCGCGCTTAAGTTTCTTCTTGTCCATCTTAAGGAGGCCAGCGGAGCTGTCCAGCTGCAGCGTCGTCTGCACAAGGCGCTCCAGGATCATTGCAAAAGTCTCCACGTAGTCGGACTGGATGCGGATGCGGTTGGAGCTCTTGGCCACTACCACAGTGATGACCTCGGACTGCTTGTCCAGGCCGGGGCACAGCAGCTGGAGGCCGAGGGCGTGGGCATCGGCCTGTCCTTCGAGGAACTCTCCAAAGAAAGTTCTCAGTTTCGGAGCGACGTGTCTGCTGGTTATACTGTACGTCAGCTTGATGCCCGCCGCCTTCTGGGGCTGACACACGCGATAGAACATGCCCAGCGGCAGGTGGGCGTTCTGCTGTATGACCCGCGGAATGCCCTGGGTAGGATATCTCGAGAGAATTAGGATGCAGATCCTGCACATGACACTCACCCGAGAATTCACAAAGGAAGCCACCACCTCCACTTTGGTGCTGTGGATGTGTAGCAGTTCGGCAATATAAAAGTCCAGCTTCAGCTCCTGGCTAGTGCCCGCGACCACGTCCACAAAGCTAATGGTGTCCTGGCTGCAGCGAACTCCGTTGGGCGTCTGGAACACCAGTTGCAGCTCCGCTAGGTCCGCTTTGATTTTGAAGCGCAGCAAGCCCTTGGCCGAGGGCATCTCCTTGACGGCCACGTCGGCGGGCACGTCCAGCAAAAGGGTGTCCAGATCCTCAGAGACATCCGTCTGGATGCTAAAGCTAAGACGCACCTGATCCGCTGCCTGCTGATTGAGAGCGTCCATGTCGCGTACATCCACCGCCTCCTTGATCTCGTCCTCCAGTTGCTGCAGCTCCTTATGCGCCTGGGCGAAGCTCAGCGCCTCGATGTTCAGCGGCTGCACCTGAAACGTGAAGGGATCGGCGCCCAGATATCCCACTTCGAGCTGGCCCCTGGCCCCGAGCGTCACTATGCCCCCGGCCAGGCCCTGCATATTGGAGCGCTGTATGGCCACCGGAGCGTTCGCCTGGTTTGGCCATTGTGCCGCCCAAATGATGTTGGCCTCTTCGTAGATATGCAGCTTCGAAGAGTCCGAAATGATGGCTGTGATCAGGCGTGCGCCGGGCTCTGCGTCGCCATATAGAATCAATATATAGGAAAGGTAGCTCTCCGTAGGATGACCAAGGCTTACCCCAATAATAGCCCACTACGAAGCTGTGGAAACACTTGGGGGCGTAGTCCAACTTTAGAATAAAGATGAACTTCCCATTGTCATCCAGGGAGATGAAGTTCCGCTCGCCCAGGATCATGATGTAGGAGCAGTTCCTGCAAGATATGGGATACATCGTCGGATCGAATCCATTCCCTCGCTTCAGTACTCACTCCTTTACTTGGACCACCCGCATGTCGACAATGCCCTCGCCCACACCCTGCGTCCAGGTGGGCTGGTAGCTGCTCTTGGTCATCAGCGAATGGGACAGGTCCTGGTAGCTATAGCACTGCAGGTGCCAGGAGGCACTGAATCGGAAGAAGCTGTCGGTGCGCTCGCAGTAGGACACCGGAGCCGGCAGTGCCCGGTATCCGGGGAAACGACACTCGTAGGAGATGCCGTCCTGCTCGTAGAAAGTCAAGGTCCCGTCCAGATGTACCACACAGAAGAACTCGCGACCCTTCACCTGCCCGAAGTGGCCCTGGCACAGGCCGAAGGCCACCCGTTTGAATTTGTGCTCCGCCTGCAGCTGCAGGCGCACCTGGGCTCCGTGTTCCGCCAGTCCGCCGATGGCTTGGACGTTGTAGATGGCGATGGCGTTGGGCAGGAGCACGCCCAGCTGGTTGGTGTTCTCGTTGCGAACGTTCCTGGAGGAGTTGGTGACTGTTAGACCATATTCTTCTAGCAGTCAGAGGCGACTCACCCGCTAAACTTTCCGGCATACAAGCCGAGAATTGGGGCCGGCATCAGAGTCTCCAGCAGGAGATCGGTGGCATCGTAGCCCCGCCTGTGCGGGTAGTAGATGCTCAGCTGCCCCGTCTGGGAGCCCACTATGATGTAGTCCTTCTCCTGTTCCTCCAGGCCAAATCGGGCGCACAGTAGGCTGGCCACATCGTATTGCTCTCCGGGATCGGCGCACTGGGCAGACCACCAGCTGCAGACATTGAACAGCGACATGTATGTACTGAGTCGACTGAGTCGTCCAACTGAACGAGTCATTGTCATTGTTGTGGCAGGATTGGATGTTGCCATGGCCACCATTCAAACAGCTGGCTGTCATGGCAGTAGTTTCAGCAGGACACTCCCACCGAAGGTACATGTACCAAGGAAGGAGCATGAA